ATACTTTAGGTGAAATAAAATTGGACAAGTCAAATCAAGTTATTGCTTGACCAATGATAGTTGAGTTGGTAAATGGGATGAAAGTCACAAACTGGGACATATTTGTCCAATGGTCATGAAGGATTTAGTGGGCTTTAAAAACAAGTTTAGCCAGTGGTCAAAGATGGATTTAGTGGACTTTGAAATTAAATTGGCCGAAAAGCATGGTTATTTGGTTAACTACTTCACGTGCCTGGATATAAGATCTCATGTGATATAACCCTATCAAAAGCTGGTTTGGAAAAATATACTTCTTCCTCTTTATAATAAGTGTTCTTTATAATAAGTCTTTGAGTTCTTTATAATAAGTGTTTATATGAGAAGTTGCACAGTAAATAATAATTTTTTGAGAAATGCTATAGGTACATAATATTATACATATGGGTGTACATAATACTCACATTGAGTGAGATCCACCAAAAATAAAAAAATAAGTTTTTGAGAAATGCTATAGGTACATAATATTATACATAGGGGTGTACATAACACTCACATTGAGTGGGATTTACCAAAAATAAAAAAAATAAGTTGACTCAACTCCATGTGAGTGTTATGTACACCTCTATGTACATTGATTATGTATTTGTAGCATTTTTTTAGTTTTTTTTGTCAATAATAACCCTCATTAGTGTATTTATTAGTTAAATGATGATAATAATGAAAAAATATGTACAAAAGATTCAAAACGTCATTTATCTGGTTAATGGTTGATAAAGCTAAAATGACATTTAAAAAGAATAAGAGATTTTAAGGATGTAAACATGAAGATATTTAATTGCAACTGAAAAGTATAATATGTGTGGGTGTGTGTACTTTTCTGTAAATTTGCCAATCTTCAGGTGTAGATTTCACAATTCCAAAATTATGAAGTACTTTCGTTTGCTAGGTTGATCAAGTAGCTTTGAAGATGGGCTTCCTATGGGATCTCACATTTCAGAAATTCTAATGCTCTTCCTAAATACCACAAACAAACATGACCAACACAAAACACACAGAAACATACAAGCTACCAAAAGCTAAACAATGGCCTGACATAATAAGCTATATCATCTTGTTACAGGGGAACAAGGCTATCATAGTACAAACAGGGTTTACTATAAGTCTTCATACCCTTGTAATAATCTACCCTCCACCAAATCCCACTCCTTACATTATAACAAACCAAATCCTTCTCACTTATATGAACCAATATTTCCTCAGACTCACCATCACAAATAGGAATTAGAAACTTAGGACACAAAGGAAAAAGATCAACTCTGCATTCAATCCCCCAAACTTTCTTCTCTTTATCCTTCAATGCCCAAATATCGATCATGTTTGGCTCCTCGGCCGAAAATCCCACCACACGTAAATCCCCCATTAGCCCAACACACTCCAAGAAACTGTACTTTTTATCTCCGTGCACCGGATAACAAATGTCGCTAAATTCTTCGTTTTCCAAATTCAGACACAAGATGGATTTATTTTCACAGGACAAAATCGTCCAATACATAATCCCGTTCGCACAAACAGGATATCCATCAATCCATGTTTTAAACGGGCAACGCTTAATCGTTCTCCAAGAACCCGATTGCACGTTTTCGCCATTCTTGAACGAAAAAACCTCACATTTCAGTTTATGATTCTCATCTAAAGAACTATAGAACAGGTTCACTATCTTGTACTCACTCTTCTTTGGAAGATAACCGAATCCCACGTTCTGAAAACGGGCTTTCGGGGCAGATGGGACCCGCACGACTCTGTGCATGCTAGGGTTGCATATGTACAAAGAGCACATGCCGCAAAAGACACTTAGGGGCCCACAAGTGAGAAATGAGTCAACCATGACATCGATTTTTTCCATAAATTTATCGACTGTATTGCCCTGCACGTCTTTTAAGGTCATTTCGATTATTACTTGGCTCTTGAAGTCGTACCTTCTGAAGAGTGACATTGGTTTTTCCTTAGACCTCTTCATATGTCGTGTAATGAATTCCTTGTCCCGGGTTAATAAATCGAGCCAAGATTTGGAAACGCACCTGAATTTGCAGAGGTTTTTGGCGGGAAGCCGTGAAAGTATCTCGGTGATGGCATCTCCCGGGAGGTGGCCGATCCATTCGATATCGGCCGTTGGATCGTGGTTTTGGTGGGTTGGAGCATTTTTGTGATGAATATTTGATAAATCCATTGGAAAATTTTTATTTTCTGATATCTTCCTGTTGAATGTTTGAACTCAATATGATGGCGTTAATGAATAATAAATAGTGTTAGGTGAGGAAAATATTGTATTAAACTAATGTATTATGTATGGACAAGAAGAATTCACGTATCATGTACTGTTTGAAGTCTTAAAAGATGATCGCTATATATTGGTTCTTTTTCATGTGAATCAATTTAATTGTCGTTATTTCATTATCCTCGTGAATTATTCAACCGTGATATAAATTTTCCTTTCTCGTGGGCCCGTGACATGATTAACATGGGGTGCATTATATAT